GAGGAACTTTGTCTCTGATGTGTGGATATTTTGTTTTTTCTTTCAGTTCCGTGTTGTATTATTCACTGTTCCCACCACTTAAACTCTGCACTGGAACTAATCTGTCACCTTTTGCTTATTTCTACAATGGGGAAACTTCCTGTGGGGACCAGCACTACAGGACCATCCTGTGGTTGAGCTAAATTGCTGCTTTGCTGCTGATTCCCTGGGGAAGGCTTTTTATGCAGCTCAGGTTACAATTGTTCACCTTTTAAGCACTTCTGGGTCTTGTGAGGTCCAATACACCTGGGTTGTGTAGAAACTCTGGTCTGGGCCTGAATCTTTTCAGAAAACTGCACCCCCTGCAGTTGTATATTCCTGACCAGTCTCCACGGAGTCGTCCTGTGCTGATTGGGGAGCAGATCAGCTGTCCTTGCTGTGCCCCAGTGTTATCCCGATGGGCCTGTCTCCCCCAACCCCCACACTCCAAACACTTCCCATGGGACAGGACTTGCACCGGTCCCTTGTGACGACTCACTGGCCTCTGTGTGGCTCCTTTTTTTCAGTTGTTGTGGCTTCTTGCTCCTATGTGGTCCACGGGAACACTGTTAGTAGTCTTGCTGGCCTGGGGGCCACCAAGGCCCTCTTCTCCCCTGCTCCTCCAAGCAACTTTATAGGAAGGACACAGCAGTGGCTTTTGCCAGCTCTTGCTCCAAGTGCTCACCAGGGCCAGCTTTGAGGTGGCCAGCATTTGAAATGGCTGGAGCAGTTCTTTCTTTCTCTCATCGTGGTTTCTCCCACCTTCATGCACTCCATAGATCTCTCCTCCTCTTCCCTTGAGCTCCAGCAGCCCCAGCTTGGCTGTCATTGCTTTTTTTTTTTTTTTTTTTTTTTAGTTGTAAATTGGTTGATTTGTGGGAGAGAGTGACGCTGGGGACCGTGTATTCCACCATCATGACCAGAAACCACCTGGTATTTTTTCCCATCACTTTATTTTCAACCTTTCCATTTCCTTATGTTGTGTCTCTTGAAAACAGTTAAAGCTGGATTTTATTTTGTTTTTCAAATCAAATCCATCAATCTCTGATTAAAACTGGCATATTTAGTGTATGTATTTTTATTGTGATGACCGATATCTTTAGATGGGCATGTTTCTGCTATCTCATTTTGTGCCTTCTACTTGTCCTTTCTTGCCTTTTTTTTAAAAAAATATTTTTTCCTTTCTTGGCTTTTTATTTAAAAATATTTATTACGTTGTTTTTGGTTTTATTCCATTTTCTCTCATTATATTTTTGGTAGTTAGGTACTTTCTATTTTTGTTTTTCATGTATGCTTTCAAAATATTTAATGCATTTTTAAGAAGAGTCTAAAGTTTTTCAAGAGCCTAACCTCCAGCCAGATTAATACAAGTTTCTAAAACCCTTTAACTCCATCTACCTCCCAGTGACTTATGTTATTATTGTCTCCTTTTCTGGCACCACCACTTTTTCCTTAAAGCTCAAGACTTCTTTTTTTTTTTTTTTGTCTTTTTTGTGACCAGCTGCACTGCGCTTAGCCAGTGAGTGCCGCCGGCCATCCCTATATAGGATCTGAACCCGCAGCGGGAGCGCTGCTGCGCTCCCAGCGCTGCATTCTCCCTAGTGCGCCACGGGCCAGCCCAAGACTTCATTGTTTTTAATAACAAAATATTATTTTGTTGTTTAAAGTGTTTTCTCATTTAAATAATAAATCAAAAATATTAATATTTATAGTCCTAGTACAACTCTTTTTCTTCTGTTAAAACCAGCAGGTGGCACATGTTCTATTTTCATAGCTTTGTTAACAAGTACAGTTTTGTTACCCCACAAGTTAGATATTAGTATTATTTAAAAATATATCTATTTAGATTTACCTAAATATTGACAAATTTCATCATTCACTGTTATTTCTTGCACCTCATTCCTTCCTTCTGTGGTCATTTGTATTTTCCTTGAAATAAACTATATACTTTAGAAGTTCCTTGAGTAAAGACCTTTTTGTGGTAAACTATTTTTTTTTTAACGTTAATTGTCTTTTTTTACCACTGTTTTTGAACAATTTTTCTAAGTTGACAAAAATTTTCTTCCACTACTTTAAAGACACTCAATAGTTTTCTGGCCTCCACTGTTGCTGTTGACAATTCAGCTGCCAGCCTAATTATAGTTGTTGTGTAGATGATCTGGTGTTTCTCTTTGGCTGATGTTAAGTTTTCTTTGTCTTGGTGTTCTGCATTTCCCTATACCATGTCTAACTGTTGCATTCTTTTTATTTATCCTGCCTGTTATGTCTTGCCTTTTCTTCACCTGTAAATTCATGTCTGTCATAAGTTCAGGAAAATGATCATCCCGTTTTGTCTTTGAACATTGACTCTCATTTATTATTTCTATTTTGTCTTTCTAGAATACCAATTAGATATAGGTTAGATCTTTCCATTCCATCTCCAAATCTCTTACATTTATCATCTCTGCATTCTGAGTTATTTCTTCTGCTTTTTTTCTGGTTCATTGTGTTTCCCTCAGATGCATCTTTTACTTTGTTTAATCCTCCATTGAGTTTTATGAGCTTCTATTTTGTGAAATTCACAGAAAATAAGAACAGAACCACAAATACCTGTGTACTTTTCACCTAGTTCTCCAGCTGTTGCCATCTTGCTATTTCCATTTATGTGTATTTGTATATCTATATATGGATATGTGTGCATACCTGTGCACACATATACACACACATACATATATAGACACACCCACACCATCCTACTTGCCTTTAGGAAAACCACCTGAAAGTAAGCTGCAACCATCATGCATGTTACTTTTAAATACTTCAGCACACCTGTCTCGAGAACAAGGGCATTCTCTTATATAAACATAATACTGTTACCACACACAAGGAAATCCACAGCAATTCAGTAATATCATTCAACGTATTGTTCATACTCAAATTTCCCCAATTGTTCCCCAAATGTCATTTATATCAGCTACTTTTTTTTTCCTGATCTTGGATCCAATCAAGGTTCACACAGTTATATTTGGCTGTTTTGTCTCTTTAGCTCTCCCATTCTAGAACAGTACCCCATATTTGTCTATTCTTCATGACATGAAACCTAGGAAAAGTATAGGTGAAGTGAACATTCCCCATTCTGGAATTATCTAATGGCTTCACCATTATTAGGCTTGGGTCAAACATTTCTAGCAAGAACTACCACCTCTTCTACATTTATTAGCTAGAATTCTCATGGAAAGAAAAGCTTTGCCTCCCTTTCCCTCCTTTTTGGCTATCTATATAGACTTGTTGATTTAAAAAAATTAATGTGTTATCATTCATTACCATCATTATTCTTTCTGATGTTCAAATTACCCAAAATTAGGCCAGTGAGAATCTTTTCAAGACAATTATTTTGTTCTGACATGACACTTAGTTTTTTAATAATGTTCTTGCTTTCTGGCATAACAACTTGCTTCAGGCTAACATTGTACCTTCCCTGCTGCAGCCTAGAATTAGGCATTTCTCCAAGAAACACTAGTTCCTTTTAATGGGGATGGTATTCAGAAACCAAGATCTGGGCATTAGGTATGCTCATTGCCACTGGAGCGTCCCACATTGTGTGTTTCAACAGACTTTACATTTAAAAAAATCCTCTGGTTGTTTTTCAGATCATCCTGATATTTTTAAAAAATTATCTCTTGTTCCACCAAATTATATTTTAATATTATGTGCTAATAGATTTTTGTTAAAATAAGATAGAGGGGGAAGAGGAAGAAAAGGAGGCGGAAATGATAAGGAGGAAGGGGGTGCATATTCATTTATCAAGTAATATCAAGCAGAAATACCTTCGAGATTGTCGTGTGGGCTGCTCTGGATCTGTAGAGCTGAGTCTATTGCATTTTGTTCTGAAGTTTATTGGTGGATATCTGTTGATTGCACCTAGGAAGAGAAAAGTCTGTGATGAATCTCTTATTCATAGCTGTTAGCATTACTGCAGTCTGCTCTGGACACAGTGCTACCTCACTGTTTTCAATATCCATCAAAGAGAAATCCCAGCTAAAAGAGTCTAATGGAAGAAAAGCAGATTTCTCAAGGGAATCTCTAAAACTGAGTTTAGAAAATACATCTCCTCTAAACTTACAGGTGAATTCAATTAACTTTTCAAGAAGATGCCCTTCGCTGCTGAAGTCGGTCAACCATTAGAGGAGATACCATAAGCCATTCCTAATGGGCTGGCCTTTGATTGGTATCAACTAATCAGAATAGTTATTTTTTATTTGCTCCTTTGGAATATCAAAATGCAAAGGGAAAAAGACATTTCTTTTATGGTCTTTGTATCAACCATCAACAACGTAACATCAGTGCCATCTTAGGTTTAATTCATTAGTGGCTCATTTCATTTGGAAACGTATTAATTTTTCATAACAATAAAGCATGCCTCTTCTTATACTATTTAAAAATTTTAAAGCCCCTTTTGATGGGAAACTTTTAAAAATATATTTCCTTAAAGCACTGAATCAGATTGTTAAACACATTTTTCCTTCTGGTGATCCAGGGTTATAAGTAGCAAGTTTGTCCTTGGCTATGATATGGCTCATCTCCAGAACTGCTATTGTAGGCAGGGCTGTGCACTCTACACTGAATGGCCTAAGACTGTGATGCTACCCTTATTATGCATTGGATGGTTACTTTTTTATCTGTCTTAACTCTAAGTATCAGATTGTCTGCAGTTTTGCTTCTCTCGGAAAATGTGTTGATTCTGACATGGACTGTGCTTGATAGCCAACTCTTATTTCAGCAGAATGTTAAATAAGAGTCACAAAGACTTAGAAAAGGGGATAGATTACAAGTTCCAGAAGGGCAGTGACCGAGTCTGTTTTGATTACTCCTAGATCCCCAGCCCCTGGACAGTGAGTGGCTCAGAGTCGGGGCCTAATCAATACATTTAACGTTGAACGGGTGAGTGAGTCTGTGGGCCTGCTGTGGAATTACGTAGGTAGACTTGAATATGTCAAAGGCTTTTTTTCTTTTTTTACTTTTACAGCCACATTTTAAAGATTGGAGATTTCTAGATATCTAAGTTCCAGGAAAGTAGGGTATAACTGCATCATGGACATAGTTTTCCAAAAGCACTGTAGCTCATGTACACTAAGTACTTTTTTCTTAAAACATCTCTTCCCCTTTCCTTGGTGAGGGTGTGGGGGTAGCGCCATTTGTCTAGTCATATAATTTGACTGATTACCATGAAACACCACCAAGAATTTTGCGGGGGCTGGGGAAGGAAATTCCATCTTAAAACTTCCAACTTCTTGTCTCATAAAGAGCGTTTCTTTTCAAATTTATCAGTCTTTCAAGGTGTTCTCTTTTTTTACCCTTACGAATACCTTCTGATTACTTCCTTCAGAATGGTCCCTAACTCCCATTTTTTTTTCTTTTTTTCTGGCTCTTCTTTTGGGTTCCTATTTCAGAATACATCTACACAAATTTCATTCTGGAGGTTTATTGCTCCCATACCAGTGTTTCTTCAACCATAATGTGCATAGGAATCACCTGGGAGGTCTTGACAAAATGCAGATTCTGGTTCAGAATGTCTGGGGTGGGGCCTGAGGTTCTGCATTTCTAATAAGCTCCCAGGTGATGCTGGTACTGCTGGTCCTAGACTCACACTCTGAATAGCAGAGGACCAGAGGACATAACATCACCCCCATCAACAATTTCCAAAGCTCCTCAGGCCTCACCCTGCACCGATTAGTCAGTGTCTTCACATCCTTAACTGGTCTCACAATGTAATATCAGTGACAAGTTTGAGACACAATCAGGACCTCACTTGAGCAACACTAGATACTCCTTAGCCTGTGTGTTCACTTTCCTGTATTTGGACTCCAAGGGATCCTTCACCATGAAAACTTTAAGAAATTCTACCAAGTGCTTTTAAACCTTCAGCATTACAGCAGAACACAGCTTCTTTGTATCCATCCTGTTGCATTCGAAATGGATTGCACATTTTCAAGGCAATCTCACTCCAAGAAAAACAGCCTGTGTTTTTTATGGGCACCAGTTACACTAATTACCGGCATCGTAAAAAGTTATTAACAAGGCTAAGAAAGTTTTGTAAGGCTGTATCTTTCATTCTGACAGGTAAAATGGTACCTCCTAACACTTCAAACTCTGTCTTCAGACCTTGTAAAAGCAAGGCCAAGAACTGTTTTTCTTTGGCTCTCTCTTTTGGTGCGTTAACTGATAAAACTTTCCATCAAAGGACCGTGTGATAATGTTTCATGGCAAGGGTTTGTTTTGTAGCTGAAGTCCAGGCTGTGATATCACACCCCCACACTATACTGCTCCATGTAGACAGATGTGGGAACAGCTGCTTGTTATGATTGCTTCTCCATAGGAACCAAAGGCATAAAAAAGATGAGCCAGGAAATTAAATGCTTAGGAATCAGAGATTTTCTCTCGTCCATCATTACATATTTTCTTTTCTGACCTGCAGTGCCCTTGAAGACAGACAAGAGGTTTCCAGAAATCCATATCAGCTCATCAGCCTTTTGGGGGAGAATACCAAGTATACTCTTAATGTACATAAAGAATAAACTTTTATGACTTACGCCTGATTGAATTTATAAAGGATTTCACAAACTTCACACCATATCTGTGGTCAGGTTTATGAATTCGGCCAAGCTGGATCAAGTGGTGATCCAAAGGGTAGCTGGCTAAATCTTCCAGTTCCTGGTCATTCCAAGCAGCACCAAGGGAAAACACAAATACGGCATAGCCCTGACATTTGGCTCGCAAGGATTCTTTCTTTAAGGTTTCCCCATCCAAGTGATTGGTTTCCCCAGCAGATATTACAAATATGACTTTGTTTTTTCTCAGGTTCGGTGTACTTAAAAAGACATTGTCCAGAGTCCACTGTAAGGCATGACCAATAAAAGCGTCTCCATTTAGCTGTTGAACTGATTCTTCCACATGCCTCTTCATGAGGCGCTTACTGCTGTAGGTGGTAAGGTTGAACTCGGTTCTAACAGGACTCTTCTGAGTGTTGGGAAGGAAGTCAGGGGGAGCATGGCTCAGTAGGGCCACCCGGTCTCCAGTGACAGAGGTCTCGGGCTCAGGGGTGATTTCAAAATGATCTAATAGTGCTCCCAGGAAGCCTCTTATGTCTTCAAAGTCAGTACTTCCCACATTCCGGGAGCCATCCAGAAGGAAAGCAGCATCTATGTAAGACTGCACAGGGGGTGGTCTGGCTTCCTCGCAAGAAGCATCTGGTCTGCATACATCTGTGAACCAAAAGTCACTTAGGGTTACTATGCAGAAATGGACAGAAAAGGAAAGATAGCATCTCAAATATTTTAACATTTGGAAACTGCATTGTGTTTGATGCTAAAATATTTTCTAAAGGACTTTAGTGTCAACAACAGGAAGATTTCCTAGTACATGGTTTGCATCTATCTCCAAAAAGTACAGATTTTATACCCAGCCTGTGTCTTGGATTCCATTCACTAATGCTATCATCCTTTAGAAAATTAGGCTGGTTTTTTTTTTGTTTGTTTGTTTGTTTATTCCTTTTTGTCTTTTTTACTGACTGGTAACGGGATCGCAACCCTCGGTGTCGCGCCCGTACCGGGGACCAGCAATGGGATCGCAACCCTCGGTGTTGTGCCCGCACCACGCTCAGCCAGTGAGCGGGAACCGGTCTCCACATGGGATCCAAACCCTCGGCGGGAGCGCCGCCACGCTCCCAAGCGGCGCACTCTCCAGTGCGCCACTGGGCCGGCCCAAATTAGGCTGTTTATAACAGAAGTTTAATCTTGGCTGTGCTTTAAGTTTATAAAGTTTGAAGTAGTCAATTTATCTCATGCATGCAAGGGTATACTGTATCACAACATAAAAACTACTGAGCTCTCCAAACTGACAATATACAGGTTAAACCAATTCCCCATATCACTATGCTCACCTTGCTCTACTAATAAAAAGTAATCTGCTTAAAAAATAAGAGTGAGAAAAGCAATGTATCTTCTATTTCAATTTAAATAAGAGTTTATAACTCAATGTCTATCAATGTGTGCTCCTGAAGGACAAAGCTACCCCTTATCTTTGTTTCTCCATGCTGCTTATTAGTTGAAAGTTCAATACATGTTTGTTAGATAGATGAATACAAATATTGCATATTAATGAAATTTCTTAAAACATGAGGTCACTTAATAAATATGCATATCTCATTAAACAAAAAAATGAGTAGTAATAAAAACAGAGAATGGATTTTATTTAATCTGACCACAATGGATATTCAGAGGAAAAAAAAAAAAGAAAATTGAAGGATCTTAGACGTCACCTAATCTTCTAATTTTACAGAAGATGCTGAGGCCAGGAGAATAGAATCATTTTGCCAAAGGACACATCAGTATTTCTAGAAGTTTCTACATATGAAGTCAGTGTTTTATTGTTGGACATGAGGCCATGCAGTGTAGCAGTGGGGAGTTCCCTTGGCTTGCCAGCTGGGATGCCTGGGTTCTGGTTTTTGCCTCAGGAACAGACATGCTGTATGCTCCTAGCCAAGTCACCACTGGGCCTCAATTCTGCACAGTTCCTCTGTACAATTAGGTGGTAGGACCAGATTCACCTTGACATCCCTTCCAGGGATGACATTCTATAATCCTGGGTTTTCAACAATAGTTGATGGTTGAAGGTGAGAATGGCCTCTTTAAAAACCAAAGAGAAGAAAGAGAAATGGAATAACAGGCATGTGGACAGCTGGTACTTAGCTACAGGCAGGGGCTATTAATAAAAGGCATTAGATGAAAGATTAATGACCAAAATGCCGATCCTAGGGGAAGCAGCAAACTTCCTAACTTTACTCTTGCTCATGCAGTCAGTAAAGATGTGACTCTGGACATGTTATGGTTCCCTTACCAAAATTTAGTGAAATTTTATGACTCTGTGTAATGGTCATAGGACAGGACGGTCACCTGTGTGCAAGGCAGTTTACAAAATCAGGACAGCAGGCTGCCCATTTGCTCAGTATTGTGGGTTTTTAATTGCAAGAAACGACAGCCAAAATATCTTCCATTATATGCCTAAGAGACAAAACAAGGGTTTAAGCCAAGAAATGAAGCCAAAATCTATCCCCAGTCACACATGTGCAACTTGTGACTGTGCAACATACCAGCACACTGTTGCAACTGACATGTTTAAAGTGCAACTGAGAATACATAGGGTGGGATGTATCTTCCCAGAGTACGGTTAGCACTTTAACTGCTTTGAGTAAGGTTGCCAATGCCTAAACCAACCCCGTGCATTCGAGAGCATGAGAGTGAGAGCAAAAGAGAGAGAAAGAGAGGAGAGAGATTGATAAGAGGGAAGGAGAGGGAAGACAGACAGAAGTGGGGGTTAGACGACCGGAAATCCTACTTCTCCTACAGAATCACCACCTCCCTCTGAGGTCATTTATATGGCAAGCATTCACATCTCATTGACACACATGGAGAAAGAGAAGAATCAAGCATTTTCTTCAGGCCCAAATGGAGAGTTTCAGGGAGCAGAAGAACGAGACTTCTGTCATTCATAAACTGCAGGCAGTTTAGAGACAGCCTTCTTGGGTTTGATCTGGCTATGAGGCACTGAACAAATTATTATATCTCTCTAATCTTCATTTTCCTCATCTGTAAAATGGAGCTAATAATAGCACGAATGTTTTAGGATGATAATAAGGACTGAATGACGTAATTCATTTAAAGTGATTAGAACAGCACTGGGGACATACTAAGCACAATAGCTTTAGTATTAGCTCCCATCGTCACCATCATCTATATTCTGCATAGCGATTAGAACAGTGCCTGGCCTACAGTTAATGCTTGATAGCTATATTATCTATAACATCCATCAATAATCTCAGAGGCTTCTAGTCTTCATAATTATTAGAACACTCAAATGGAAGATTAGAGTCCAGTTTTCTAGTTAGACCTACAGATTATGTATAAAACACTGCAAACAAATCCCCACTGCAAACCTATTTGATAATTAACATTTGAGAGTCCTCTTATCAGTGTAAAAAGAGGATTTTCAGTCAAAGCCTCTTTTCTGTGTGAATTTGCATGAATTTCTGTTATTTTCTACTTCTGCTATACTAAAAAATCTCCCCAAACAGATACGAGGGTGCTGAATTGCCTTAATGCATTTCTTTGGGCTGTGAATGTTTGAGATTTAGAAAACACATAAATATACTTTATAGCATTAAAAACTTAGCAATGAGACAGGCTAAGCTTTTCTAAAAATCATTACATTTTCCTGGAAGCTGCATTAAGTAGACAGGGCTGGTATTCAACCCTCCTGCTGAGATACATAGGAGGAGCCCTGCTTGCTGAGATCCGAGTTTCCTTCTGTGGAAGATGCAGTGTGACGAGGTGCATCCAGATCCCCAGGGAGGTCCTCCCAAGGCCATACTTATCCCTGCTGCCAAGTTCCAGCCACTCCGGCCAACAGTGACTCAATGTGTTTAACAGGCCTGACCAAATTATCTTTTTTCTGTTGGGTCTTACCGTAGCAGAAAGTGCACCGCTGGAGTTTCTCTAATGCTGGTGTGTAGTCAGCCCCAGAGGGAACCACTATTACTTGGAACATGCCAGTGTCATCGATCTGCAAGAAGCAGAAGAGAAAGAACAGTTTAGCGGTAAGGCTGCAAAAATCTCCTAGGACTTTCAGAAAACTGAGATCTGGAGAGGGCAACACTGCTTCTTCTAAGGAACTCATGGGGAGGTGCAGCATGTCAGCATGGCTAAGAGCACTGCCTGGGTTTAAATCCCATGCTCTCCCTTTAGCTGTATGACAAATTACTTTGCCTCTCATTTTCCTCATCTGTAAAATGCTAATACTACTACCTAACAGGAGTACCGTATCAAATGAGCTCATAATTGTAAAGCACTTACTGGCACAGAGTGGGTGCTATGTGGGTCATTAAACACCACAGAACGCTTTCATATCCATTACCTCAAAAAACCACTGAGTTAGCTCTTATGTTCGTCATCCTTATTTTACAGATGGGGAAACTGAAGCTCAAAGAAAGGTTAAAAGACACTGACTAAAAGACACTGGACACCAAAGCCATTTAAGGAAGAGGACTGGAAACCTCCCATCCCCCAAACCCCAGAGAACCATGTGAAGTCACAGGCTGCTCTTTACGTAACTATCTTTAGGTTCCACTATGAACTAGTGTTAAAGCTGGCTTTAAAGTGCAGCCCTCTTCCCTGAAGAATCCCCAACCCTTTCCATTTGGCTCCACTGTTAGTAACCCACCTGGGGAGTTTGAAGGTAGAGAGCAGGGAGATTAGGAGGCTCTAAATAATCAGGAATAATTACCTTGACAGTTAACTGACTTGGAGATAAGTGACAGTTGAAGAAAAATTGTAGGTATGATCCTATCTAATGCCTAAGAGAAGGGTCAGATGACATTTAAGTTTTACACTGTGAATTCTACAGTCTTAATCCAATGACTTTCCTCTTTCTCTGGGAAGTTTCTTTCCCATAGTTAATCCATAGAGGCAGGACTTCGGCAGTCAAATTTATAAGGGATAACCCCATCTCTCTAATCAAAGCTGACTAGACTAGGGATGGTGTTATTTACTTATTTTTTTTCTTGCAGCTGGCTGGTATGAGGATCCAATAAACTAAACTGAATTTGGCCTGAGGATGCCTCTATACTTTGAGTCCTTACATTATGAACTAAAACTTAAGTTAGTACACAAACTAGCTGAAAGCCTAATTTAGGAGTATACTTTTGTAACAGATAGCTGAGTCTCAGGCAATCACAGAAGTTGAGCTTCAGTGAATATCAGGCAGCCAACTGATCAGCACATGTTCAAATGAGGCAAATGCCAAGCTGTAACCAATCAAGCTATTTCTGTACCTCACTTCTGTTTTCCCTCCCCAAATGCTGCCTGCTCACATTACAAAGTGCAGCTCTCTGAACCACTTCTGGTTCTGAGGACTGTGTGATTCGTGAGTTGTTCTTCACTCAATTAAATTCTGCTAAATTTAATTTGTCTACAGTTTTTTTTAACAATTTGGTGCCAGAAGTGAGAATTCCAAGTAAACCTCCAGTGACCCCTGGGAGCAGTGGGTGACCAAACAAAGGTACCCTCTGGGACAATTGTGCTTATTGATCTCTTGCAGCAGCTGGGATAGTGGATGAGTTCTCTGTTCCATTCAAGCTCCACAAACTTATGTTCTGAGCTGTTTGAGTTTATCTGATCAATGTTTAGACTGAACTGGGTGCAGGATAAGACTGGATCCTATAAGTAACAGGATCAGATCCGGTTAGAGGCCTCAGGTGTCTGACTGGGTCAGACAGAAACTGGACTGAGTTCAGTAGGTAGGTAAGGTTACGAAAAGACAGGGGTGAATAGTGGGTTCATCTAAATCCAAGGAGTCTGGGACTCTTCCGTTTTGGAACCTGTACTTTTGTAATAGCCTAAACAGAAGTGACTCTATTTTGTTAAACTTCTAAATGTAAAAGTTTTTTTTTTCTTACTCTTTAACCCGAACCACATAGCTTACAGCTGACATTAGAATACAATGACTCTTTTTCACATGATTGCTAGAACATAATGACTCCTGCTCACACTGTACATAGAATATTATAGAAGAAAATATTAACCCAGATGGCCATTCTTTTTTTTTTTTTAATTTATTTTGTCAATATACAATGTAGTTAGTTATTGTGTCCCATCACCAAAACCTCCCTCCCTCCTCCCTCTCCCCCCCTCCCACCCAGATGTGTCCCCTCCTTTTTCTCGTTGTAAGAGCTTCAAAAAAAAAAAAAAAGTCGAGGTTGTTAAATCTTCCTCTCCCCCCCCCCCCCCCCCCCGCCGCGTTTGTTGTTTTTTTTTTTTTTTTTTTTTTTTTTTTTTTTTTTTTTTTTTTTTTTTTTT